GGGGCACGGACCAAACCAACAAGGGAACAGGCTACAATCGGACTGTTAAATAATGGAGTAGGACACAACCGTAACAGCGGTGCTAACACGGAGACGCGCGGCCCCTCGCCAGAGAGCTCCCCGCGCCAGCGGCCCGCGGCCCAAACCAGCCCTTCTCCGCGAAGCTGAGGAGGGGGGCTGTAAAAATGTAAAGCCGGCAGATCCACGCATGATTTTGGGTCCCACTTTTGAGTTTATTAATAGGTAACGTAGAGTCCTTTGCCACATGGTGGCAGGTTTTAGGTGAAGAGAAAATACTCCCACACAAGACTGCAAGCTACACTCTAGAAACAGAAAAATCAACAGATGTACACGCGCAAGTTACGGATCTCTGCAGAAGGACCGTTTCCACACAGATACCACAACAGAGGTACCGACGGACGAGCCGCAGGCTGCGCCTCTGGACGGCATCGGCCCCAAAACCCCGCTCTGCAGAGACGACAGCGCAGCGTTCGCTCCACCGCGGCGTTTTTGGCCTGTGCTCCAACTTTTAGGCTCAAGAACACGGCACGTGCCCAAGCCAACGTTTAGAGTAACCTTTAGACAACATTCAGCATTCTGTAATTTAATGCTCCTTACCCTAACTTGTTCTTCTGAAAGAGAAAACAAAAGCTTTGCCCTTTTAGGATGTGAAATCGTAGCTTCTGGGAGTGTCACTCCAGCCCAAATGCCCACTGCAACTAGGCAAACTTCCACTGAATAGACACTGCAAAATGTTGCAAACCAAAGTGTGGGTTTTTTTTTTCCTTAGAATGTGAGAAAGGAAAGTTAATTTTGTTACAGAAAACTCTTTATACGCTAAACAGAATTTCCCAGAGAAAGAATTTCCCAGAGAAAGACATTTTCTGATTTCCTTCATATGATCAAAGCGTTATTTCATGAGATACCGTGTGAGAAACTTCTTTGCTCAGCTCTACCTCTTTCCCCTAATGACTTTAGGAAGTAGTGGACTACTTGAATTGTCTTCACCACTGTTTGCTAATTTGAAGGCTCGTTATACACTACATTTAGTATGTTACTATTTCTTGCATGCAAAGACAGTTATATTCAGTAGAAAGTTTAGCTAGTAGGCAATTTTTTAACCCTTTTGGAAGATAACTGGCAAGCTTATTGTCTAACTTATTAGCTACCATCTCCCTTACGGAGACTGGAAAGTCCTTCTGTGTTAGAGAGAAAGCGTATTAAATTTTACACAAATAATTTGACGCTACATACCGCTGAACACAGTTACAAAAGATTTGATAGTCACTGTAATTATATATGAAAAATACATTTTGAGCCCTATTTAAAGAAGAAGGGGCTCCAGTAAAGTTTGCTGCAATTCTAATGAAGCCAAATTAGCTTCAGACAAAACATAGCTGAAGAGCAAAGACTCAGCTTTGGTTTTGCCTACAACCAACATCTAATACAAGGAACAGGAATTTACATTAGTTTACATATTAGATAGCAGGTCCCTTACCTCAGTACGAGGTCTAGTATTTCATTTAGAAGTCAAATTTAAATTACAAATTTCTCAGTTGTAATAGCCAAGCATCAGTTTTGTTCCTTGCAAGTAGACACAGTTACTTGTATCATAATATTGCTTCAGAAAATAAACCCAAGAGCCAGTATCACTGAAGGTTCCACATATAACCAGAGTTCATTCCCAACCTGGACATTTAAAAAAAAAAAAAGAAGGAATAGCCAATGATCAGAGAAGTTATTTAACCTCTGAGTAAGCATCAGAGCACTGCTGGGCACCAGCCGTGAAGTGGCTGGTCAGATGTGCAACAAATGCCAGGTTTATGAGGACCATCACAGTGATGCAATGCTTGGAAGAACGGAGTAAAAAAGGAGCATTTTAAATATTGAGCATGCTTGGTTTCGTTGGCTTAGTTTGGCAGCAGTAGCTCTACTGACTTAAGTATTTGCTCAGAGCACATAAGACCATATATAATACAGTCATACTAAAAAGCTGTTCAGATGTGCAACAAATGCCAGGTTTATGAGGACCATCACAGTGATGCAATGCTTGGAAGAACGGAGTAAAAAAGGAGCATTTTAAATATTGAGCATGCTTGGTTTCGTTGGCTTAGTTTGGCAGCAGTAGCTCTACTGACTTAAGTATTTGCTCAGAGCACATAAGACCATATATAATACAGTCATACTAAAAAGGTGCTTATTTCAGACCACGGAACACAAACAAAAATCATAAATGATACATTTGACAGCAAATTGCTCTTAGTCAAGCGCTCATCTTCCATTGAAGAGTGAATTAGGACGGCAATCGCTTTGCTGCGGCTACCTTGTTCAACATGTGGCATTTCATGACAGATTTTCAAACAATCTTTCCTTTTAAAATAAAATGTATATTTCTAAGGTATTAATAGGTAACTAAATTGGAACGGAGTGATTTCAATCTTGCTACTTACAGATCTATAGTATAGTAGAGAATAGAAGCCCTGTGTATCATTAGTGCAGATACACTGGAATTGTTTTCCTTATATGCAAGGCCAATGCAGGTAAAGAATAAATGCCTGTACAAATTCAGGATTCCCTGCTAAATAACGTAACTAACTTAAAAAGCACTGGTACCAGACCAGCCAGTTTTAGGCACATCTTTAAAAAAATAAAGTATGCATTTCATTAATGTAAAAATGCAAGAAGATTCTTAGAAACATCTGAACTTTATGGTGCACTGGAATGGAAGTGATGCTTCCTTTAGTTTCAAGGAATACAATAAAGGCTTAAAAAAAAAAACAACAATACCATAGTATTCTTCATAGGGAAGAACAGTTTTAGTAAAACCAAAAAGATAAATAAGGAATAATAAGCAGCCATGACAGCTGACTGGTGAATATTTGTGCTTTAAATGTCCAAAAGAAAATAAAAGTTCAATAACTCTTCTCGTACCATCCCCCAGACTTGGCATACGTGTCTGTAATGCACACCTCGACAGTTTAATAACACCCCGCAGCCTTCAAAACTAGCTGTAGCCATGGCAGGATGCACACAGCGGCACAGAAAGGCCGGCGGCAACTTCACCAGCAGCGTTCAGTGATGCGATCCCCAGCGCCGCTGGATGTCAGCTGGAGCGTAGCTTTGGTTAAGACTGTTGCGTGAGCCGTCTGTAATGAGGTAAAACTTGGTTTTCAGGAAGATAGAGAGCCAGTTCCAAAGCTACAAGGACGGTGAATTCAAAACCAATGAGATCTCTTCTGTTGAATCTGAATCTCTCTTCTAGTTTCTATGATAATAATTAAAAAAAAAAAAAAGGGAGAGCGGGAGAAAGAATCAGTTAACCCACAAGATACCAACGTACTTTTAGATTAAGTCAACATAAAACAGAGTCAGTGATGCATGGCCAGAACTGTACCTACAGAATCAAAAGTGTTGCCAGGGATCAGACAAGTAAACCAGCTTATCAGCTCAGCTGTGACACCCACACAACAGTGACATATGTTTGCCTGAGAAACAGTAAGAGCAAAAATAACCTCACTGTAGGATCAGCAGGACATTAAGCTACTGCACCAGTCACGTAGTTTTAATGAATTTAAAAAAAAAACAAACACCACCAAGAGCCCTAATGAAACACACGGCTGACTGAAAGAGTTGGTCTTGAATGCAAGCGTGCACTGCTGGAAGTCTTGGCTTTAATCTTTGTTTTGTTCTATGAGCTAGAGAAAAGGTTCTGAGAACACCCGAGACAAGTCTCATAGTACTTACGTCTATAAGGTGTTTAACTTCATGTTTCCTGAGATCACTGCTGATCTTGGCTGCAAGCAGAACGCAAGCACCGGCACACAGTTTGCGGTTCTGTTTGTTGAGTTTGCCTTGGAGGACGAGCTTCTCAAAGTAAACATAAGCCATGGAGACAGTAACTGGCTCCAGACTGCACTCTTCGCTCAGGTTCCGCATCTCTCTCTTTAAACTGGGAATAGGAAAAAAGACACCCTCTCAAACACAACAGCTTTTATGAAATGCTCTAGAAACACTGCAGCATGGGAACTCAGAAGAGCATATGGGCAAGACTCATTTGGAAAACAGTGACGAGTATTATCCTAGACTGAAGAAGCCCAGCTGGCAGCAAGCCAGAGCTGATCCACCAACTGATTTAACCTGGCTGACATCTACAGTGGAAGAACAGTTCCGCATCAGCCCATGAACACCAGGGGCTTAGCTGCCCCCCGACACACAGGCTGTTGCTGTACGGGTCCCTCTGGGCTCCTGAACTGGTTCGTGATTCATACCGTAGGACTGAAGCACCCTGACCTACAGAATACCACATCAAAGCCGTGCAGATCACGGCAGCTGCTGCATGGAGACCTGTCTACCACACACCTCGCGGAAGAGTCAGGTCTGAGGGGGAAGGCAGACTGGTTTACACACTTCCCACAACGGCTGGCCCTTCAGCATAGAGGCGGACTTTATGGTGGATGCTACCTCTCATGGCTGCCATCCGTGCTACACCTACAAGAAGATATCTGTGCAAGCACACTACTCAGAACAGCTACAAAGAGGAGTATGCAGGGCGCTGGCAGAACACACTCTGACTGAGCAAGCCTTCCACTCAGAGTCGAGAGTTACACATAGCCCGGGTGATTCAGCAGAATCGTGTTTACGCTGGCTATTTCAGAAGGCCCCGACTGCATTAACCACCGTGTAATACCAGCACGATTACGGCTCTCGGAAGGCGCAACAGTGCCTCTCGCTGATGAGCGGCCAGATGCACTTCCTGCAAGATGAGGAATTCTGTGTGGCGTAGTCCTGCCTTCACAAAACGCTTTTCTTTACCGAGACTCCCCAGACTTAACACTCTTCTTTATCCTAGAATCTTGTTAGAGTCCACAATCATCAGTGAGTCTGGTAATTGAAAGGCAAAAATAGCCAGAGGGTTCAGAAAGACAATCCAGTTTGAGTCGGATTGCACTGCAGCCAATCAATCAGGTTACAAGTATTAGTTTCAAGGATAATGCTGCTTCACCGTTAATTGGCTACGAGTGTTAGTACACCACAGTTGGTGAAACAAAACCCTTTTAGGCTGAACTATGAAAAGCAACTGTTACCCTTTCTCAGCATCCTAAACATTCCTGTACAGGGCTGTCATCCTACAGCCAGCTCAACTGGCAACAAAAGATTAGCGTTTAATCATATATACTATTAATAGACCTAGTATTTACTCCATACAAGTGGAAGATAAAAGCAGCCTTGTACAGCATAGAAGATGTTCTCATTATTCAATGCTTATTTCTTACCTCCTAATTTTGCTCAGTGTCAACTTGATATGAGGAAACTTCTCTCTAAAGGTTTCATTCATATCCTTTTTAAGGTCCGAGGGTTTCACATATTCTATGACTGTAGTCTGAAAGACAAGAGGCAAAATTTATCACTTCTCTAATGAACAGTACTGACAGCCAAAAAAGTCTTCCAAAGACACTAATGCAAAGGCAAACCTGAGTTTTATTATTCACAATTTAACATTTCTATAATGTCCTAAGTAATAGACCATGTTGAATCTCAACCACAGACAAAATCTTAAAAAAACTAGTAAGCAAATAGTTACAAGAAGCAAATGACAACAGGAAGATACATGTCAGGTTGGTCCTCAACAAGCTGAGTGTACAAACCCAACTATTTCTGTTTAATCAATTCTCAAAAAGCCACAACTTTTTCTTCCTCAAGGAAGTTCTTTATAGGAGGATCTTCCAGGCACTCACTCCTCTGTTTAGGTATGCCAGTCACTCACCATGTAAGAGGCAAAGATGAGAACACGTTTATGTTTTCCACAGGGCCATTGAGGATCATCCAGAATATTTGGATCATACTCTGCGGCCTCCCCAGCTTCACTTCCTGAGTGGAAAGAGGAAAGCACAACACTGGGTCACAAGATACAGAACTTCTAATTCCCTGTTTCCTTTTCAAAAAAAGTTTTCAAAGAGCAAATATTAAAAGTGTTGGCAGACCCCACAGTACAGGCAAACTGCAGCTACAGTCATCTGTTTGCATTCCATGAATGCACCAGTCAGGTATTAGAATTATTAAAAAAACCAAACACATAAGCTCTTTCTCCAGCATGTGCCTGACGCACCATTTCAGACTTACTGCAAACTAGCAGTTCATCATCCACAAATACGCACAGAAAACAACAGCACAAGACTGAATTCTTTTGCCTATATTCCAATCTAGCGGACAGCAGAGCTATCAGGTTTGCTCTTTTACATGAGAGGAGGGATTCTCGTCACAAACTCTCTGGCTTATGCATTGTTACTGTGCTAGAGGACAAGGAGGACCACCTTTACCTATGTACACCAGATGTTTCTCATTGAGTAATAGAAAACTTCACATTTCCAAGGAAACGCCTTTGCGCGCCTTGAACTGCATACAAACAGAACGAGCCCAGATACACAGAGGACGTAAGGAATGTGTGCAAGTCTCAGTTTTAAGGCTCCTTGTTTATACCTCATTAAGAAGCCTTCTTTGCTAGGCTGTGCTAAGAGTCTCCTTCCAGCTGCAGCACATCCTTCCTAATAATGCACTTTACCACCTGCAATTGTTTCAGACAAATATATTCCTTTTCTGGTTTTCTGCTGTGTGCACAAGTGGTGACAAAGCTGATGGCTGTCCTTACCAACGTCTGTTCCTGCTGGTACTGTTTTTGCTGTCACAGGTTTATATCTTGATCCAGGAAGACTCCGTGAAGCACTAGCTCGACACGAGGGAACAGCACTATGGCTGTCAGCTTTGCGAACAACCAGGGCATTGGTTGGATACAAGAATTTTGCATAGGACACAACCTTGAAGAAGAGAAAGTTGTAGTAGTTACAGAGGAAAATTTATGAAAAAGCTTATTTCCAGACATCTAGGATTTTCCAACTCAGAAAGTCCCCTGGAGTTTGTATTTGGGAGTGGGGACCTTGAAATTGTGGGACAGGAGGAAAGGGAAAAGTTGGATGAGGAATGCCTTGCTTCCATGAGTTGAGTGTGGAAGTGTTGTAGAAGATTTGGTGGGGTGGCAAAGAAAAGGGGAGGATCACATCAGTAAAATACTGGAAGTATGTAAATTTAACTAAAGAGGTATAAATTTCGCCCATATTTCTATCAAAACATCACTCACATGTTGCCTGAGATACCAGAGTCAAATCAATTCTCCAGAAACAGAGGCAGAAGCGATCATGGGCTTTAACAGCCTCCTCAGAAGAAGCTTTATCACAAGCCAAACATTTTGAACTTTTAAGGATCAAACCAAACTTCCACTGCTCTGGAAAGTTACAGCTCTCACTTAACTTATGCAGTGCTTTGCCATCCATAAAGTGATTTGCCCCAGCATGAAACGGTCCCAGGGTGAAAGCAGCCAGCTTACCCACCTGCTGTCCCCAGCTCCAGTCAGTGGTTTGGTCACTGGCATTACAGATCAAGAGACAAAAAAAAAAAAGATAAAACAAGAAAAAAATTCCTTACCTTGCCATCAGCACCCAGCTCTACTCCTTCCAGTCCAAGCACCATCTCAGTGGAGACTGAAACTCCCCCAGAAGGGTGTCGCTGCTTCTGTCCTTCCATTTTTAGATCACTAAATGCAGAGAAGAAAACGCGCTATTGGAAAATGCAGCATAAGCCCAGGTTCCTCTGTGCTAAACACCAGGCCTATTCACTAGCTACAGCCAACACCACCAGGTCAGAGTTCTATGTGAGAACAGTGTAATCCCTCAATCCCATCTCCAAGAAATTATTAATTTTTAAGTACTCTTTTCAAGATTTACAGATGTTCATTAACTGCAGAATCGTACTTCATATCATTTCAGCTCAAATCCGTAACAATACACCTAAGCAAATATAAACTTTTTTTAACGCGGTCTTTCTGCGCAAGACCATACCATTCATTAACACACTAATGCTCAAACACTTAACAGCAAACATGGCTTATATTACTAGTTTTCCAGGATTAGAAACTTGCCTTTCAATTGCAATTTTCCAACCACTGCGCACACAAGCTCAAATTAAGAATTAAGGCTGCTAGCAGAACTCTGCTTCAGCGATGGCAGCATGCAGCTTTGTCGCCTATATTCCAATGTGAAAAAGCAGCTTTCAGTTAAAGAACTGCATTGCCAGCTTACACACAAGCAGAACGACACAGTGCTCAAAACCACTCTAAAATAGCTCCAGTGACCTTGCTGCTTTTCTATGAAGTGAGAGAGTATTTTCCCATCAACTATTTTTATGGCAAGGGTATCTGCATACAATACAATTCCCACTATTAAACATCCATTTCCTTTGTTCGTAAGTTATGTACAGGACACAAGTGACAACACAATTGTTTTGCCAAAAGTGCATTAGAATAAAATTAGTATTTTCTATGGTACACTTTTAGATCACAGACCTTCACAGAATCAACTTTGACTTCACAAGGGACTGAACAAAGCTGCAGGGAAATCCAGTTACCAGGTTTGGTTTCTCATAAGTGATCGTATTGACAGTTCTATACAAAAATGTAATACAAACACTAAAAGCAGTTTCAATCAGTCTAAACGGTTTCTTGGACTACAAATAGTGACATTCATGGCTTAGAGCTGAAAAACAGAAGAACTTCTTAAACTTATTTAGATGTAACTTCACTATAAAACCTTGAAGGCTTCTACTAAAGGCAGCAGCATCCTTCCCTGACGCTCTGTATGCATTTTGCTGACACAATTGTTTGTTGCACTAAAGACAGTTGATTTCTGACCACTTTAGGAGCATAAGAAATCCTACACAGGAACAAATCACATCATCTGTTCAAAGTTGGTTTCAGGGATTTCACGGGACTGGAGTGCTTTAAAATGTGAATAAACACCTGAAGAAAAGTCTAGCCTTTTCCACTGTTTTTCTCTTGGGAGTTTGAATGAGCACTTGGACACTGTGGCAATGTCTGATTTTATTGCTCTGATAGCAAGCTCTTGTCCTTACACATAAATGGTAATTTAAGTAAGTTCACCTGCTTCAAAACAGGAGACCTACACCAACCATACCCTTTTTTCAAAGATCTTCTGCAAACAATAGACCAGACATTTCACAAAGCAGTTAAAGATGACTCACCTGATCCGTAAACTCTCCCCGTAAGGTAGGATAGAAAAAGCCACACACAGTGTTCGTTTAGCACAGATTAACACTATCCTGTAAGCAGATGGGAAGAGATCAGGATAAGAATTAAGGTTCAGAAGTTACAAAGCAGCTTTTTATGGAACATGAACACAGAACTCCTCTTAAATTGCTCTGTAAGCTACATAGATACTGCTATAGATTTTATGTTTTCAGAAAGCAGCACAAAAGCAGAGGTTTCATTCTGACCCTGTAGGTCCTTAGAGCCAAGTTCTGTATCAAAACCCAGCGTTCAGTAACTGCCATTGCCTTGGGAGCTCCTCAAAGGAGATCCTAGTCTTTATATACATATATCTATATTTATGTAGTTTTTACATAAACCTTGTGAAAAGACGTAGATAATATTTTACATTTAGATGAAGTCTCACACCTCTATTAATAATAAATATGAACGCC